AAAAAAACGTTTTGCAATATTTTTTTTCAATATTTTAATAAAAAACGTTGCAAAAACATTTTTTTTCATAATATTATATTAAAAAAAAAAAGTTTTGTACCGTTTTTTTTCAATACTTTAATAAAAATAGTCCTGAAATTTTTTAGGTTTCAGGTCAGGTCAGGTCAAACAGACAACCTGATATAACCTGACCTGACCTGACCTGAAAAAAAATTTCAGGTCAGATTTATCAATTAACCTGACTTGACCTGACCCATTCGGAACTCTATTCGTAACTGACTGAGTAAAATATCAATTTTGTAAAGATTGAATCCAAGTCTTTTACCGATTGCAGCAACACATTTTATAATTTTTTTAAGAAAAACTTTTTTTAATGCTGCACTTCTGAAATGGGAATTTAAAAAAAAACATGTGATATATTTATTATCATCGAACTTATTAAAACGTTCATTAATAACTTTAACACAATGGCTACAAAAACAGGAATTAAATAATTTTGGTAACTTATTCAATACAGCTGCAAGTCTAGCCAAACTAAGAAAACAATCCGCAAGTGTAGCTAGAGCTAATACAGCTTTCCTTAATAGTTCCAGTACAAATGCAAGGATTTGTAAGTCTGAAAAAAATTTCGTGATTGAATAATTTGAGCAATACTATCATTTGCTAATAAGTTACCATTATTGGCAACAATTTCCATAAGGATTTGTTCCAAGTTAATTACTGAATTAACTGATTCACTTGCCGTAGTTCAACGCATTTTGCAATATGATTTCAACTTACCGCCAACAATCCCCTTTTCTTTGATTAACTGAGTTAATTTTGAATTTTCTTGATGTGAATTTTTGAAAAAAAGAAGTCAAGATATTGATTCGGCGTAACAAATGATCTCCAAATTCTTCTTTTACAATATCGCATACTATCAAATTTATACAATGCGTGATGCACCTAACATTTTCGATAATTGGAAACTTATCTTGAATGCTTTTCTAACATTTGAAGCATTATCAGAGACTACGGCCGATATTTGATCAACCCCAATATCAACAATTATCTTTTTGATAACTGATGATAAATATTCTGCAGTATGTGAACATTCTGATAAATCAGATAGTTAATATAGATATTCTTTTTTTGATGGCATCATTACAATAAAATTCCAAATTGGTGAGTGTGTGAGGTTTAGCGATCATCAAAAGCTAAATAAATAAAAAAAAATTATGATAGTGAAATAAAATAAAAATAAATTATATTGCCATAAACCTATTGTTAAATTAGTTTCACTCTCAATTTCTGTTTTCACTTTATTATTCACTTGTGTTAGTTCCCATTCTAGCATTTGACTTGCTAACATTTCTCTTGTTGGCGGATCATACCCACCATTGAGCTCTTTTATAAAATTTATAAAAAAAGGGTGCTTAACTATACGAAATAATATTCCGCATGAAACAAAAAATTTAATTAATGCACGGTTAATTCATGTAATTCTTGTATCAAAAAGGTCTGTTGAATCGTGATAATTGTCCATATATTGTTGACCACTTGAAAGTTTTCTTTTTTAGTCACTTTATCTTGCCATTCCAATATTTTTGACATATATTTTCTCACAATTGTTGCTGAGGCATTTTTGCAGTGGTTGGAAAGATATTTTTCAAGTTTTGAGACTTCACCACGCTTCCAAGTTATTTTACAATACTTGCAAAATGCAGAAAATTTACCTGAGCCAACAGATTCTCTTTTATTGATATCTTTCCTTATTGAATTTAACGGCTTTCCTCTCTTACTTTTTTGTTTGCCAAGAATAGATGAAACTTCTAAATCAGTGGCCATTTTGACATTAACAAAATTAAATGATACATGATCATATAAGGGGTTGTTAATAGTAGTGTTTGTATTCGGGTTTAGCATATCTGATTGTAATAGTGGATATCCGTTAAAAATCAAGTATCCAGATAAAAAGTTTTGAATTTTACAGTTATCCAGATTTGGATTTAATCTAAACGGGTTATCCAGATATAACCGTTAACTATAACAGATATCCATTTAAGTTAGCGAATATCCAATTTAATGCTAATCGTGCTACTAATGTCTAATGACCATTGACCGAAATCATGTGAAGAAGCATGTATTACAGATATAACGCGTCAAAAACTTGAAATTTATTGTCATTTTTGTTTTAGTTTCATGTTAATAGACAACTTGTAACACACTATCTTCATACGTTTATATTCAAAATGACATAACAAAGTAGTATTACACCCTTTCTTACTGCTCTTTCTCCAAATATACCACCTTATGAAGATTCTATTCAACCAGTAAAAAAGAAACAAAAAATTTCAAGAAAAAAAACTAGCTGAATATGGAAGTATTTTATCGAAGGGTTTAATGATAAAGATGAATTAATTATAATATGTCAAGTGGAAGGGGAAAAGGAAAAAAAATGTAATGTGAAACTTAAACATGATAGTTCAATGGGTAATGGAATTAGTCATTTATGGTCTGTTCATAAAATAACTAAAGATGGAAAACAACCTGCGGTATGGTATAGTTTATAGTTAAATCAGTAAAGTATTTTAATATTCAAATAGTAATATAATATAATTTCTTTTTTGTTAATTTTGTAGGATAAACAACAAAAGCTTGATGTAATTGAAAAACATCCAGAAAAACGGCAAAATACATTTTGTCAATTTTTGGTTAATTGGATTATTGATGATTTACAACCTTTTTCAGTTGTTAATAACCCATCATTTCGTATTTTTTGCAATGAATTAGATCCTGCATTTTTAGTACCAGAAGCAAAAACCATAAAGGCAATTATATATCAAGCATATAATTTTACATATCCGAAAATAGTAGAGCAAATTGGAAAGGAAGCAATATCTGTCACTAGTCGAACGATGTCAAATTGGGGACCAATCAGGTGACCGAATTCCATCCGATTGGTCCCTATTTTTTTAAAAATTTTCATCAATCAGTAAATCTGATTGCTGCCAAAAGATGGCACAAAAGGAGGATACTCGAGTACCAATCGGGATATTCAATAGAAAGCAATCAGGTATTAATAGTTACCAATAAGATATTTACTATTTGGCATATCAGTATACTGATTGATAACTTTTTGATTAAATGTCAGTATACTGATTGATTACTTTTCGATTAATTTATAACAATGTATTTTTATTTAAAATTATTTAGAATTTACATTAAAATATTAAATTACAAAAATCAGTACATTATTTAATAATTCCATATATAAATTATGATACTAATAATCACAGGTCGAACAGATGTCATTGTCGCAAAATTTGCCTGGAATTTTTCTGGAAAATTGAGAATTATCCCGGTAAATTGGGGTAAATTGTGTTACAATTTTGGGATAATGGAGGTCTTACAATTTGGCAAATTTTGTCAAAATGGCGGAATTCCTACAGAATTCCTAATTCAAATGTTGAGAAATTTTTCAGTAAATTATCATTAAATTGTGGGAAATTTTAGGCAAATCTTTAGTAATGATATGCAAACGAAGTGCAAATTGTGGTGAATTTTGTTAAATTTTTAGTAATTTTATGCAAACGTAATGCAAATTGTGGTGAATTTAGTTAAATTTTTAGTAATGTTATGTAAACGAAGTGCAAATTGTGGTGAATTTAGTTAAATTTTTAGTAATGTTATGTAAACGAAGTGCAAATTGTGGTGAATTTAGTTAAATTTTTAGTAATGTTATGTAAACGAAGTGCAAATTGTGGTGAATTTAGTTAAATTTTTAGTAATGTTATGTAAACGTAATGCAAATTGTGCTGAATTTAGGTAAATTTTTAGTAATGACGCCAAATTTACCAAATTTGAAATAAAAATTGTCAAAAATATTACATATATTTTGATATTTATTATATAATCCATTAATATCCCTACATATTCTTCCTACACCCTTATTGTTCTTTTTCTTTTTCTTTTGAGGTTCTCTTAGGAACATTATCATGAATATGTTCCTGTTCTTGGGACGATGGTTTGGATGATGATTTTTTATTTGTTTTTTTCGATTGATCACGCATGTTGTCAATAACTTCCTGCAATTCATCAAGTGCTTCGTTGTTTTTATTTGTGGATTTTTTATTTTTTGAAATTCTTTTTGATGATCGTGTTTGTTGAGAAGTTTTCTGTGATGATGGGGGTTTTTGCAGTGGTAATGGTGGGGTTTTGGAGGATTGTTTAGATTGTTTGTTTGATCATCGTCCCGATGTCTGTGATAATGACGTTTCCTCTTGCTCCAGCTCGTTTACCTCATCCTCACCCTCTTCTTCTTCATCAGATTCAGCATTTATATCTAATTTATCGACGTTGAGATCTTAAAAGAAAAATTTTAAAAATTTTCTAAAAATTCCGTTCTATAAAAAAAAAAAAGAGAACGGTAATACACAATTACCATAACTTGGTTGACTTTGTTGACTTTGTTCCTCCTCTTCGCTCTCCGATTCCGACTCATCATCTGATTCTTCGTCAATAGATTTATGGACTGAGGGAGATTCTCGCTTTCCGTCTTTAAGTGTCCACCAATTTAAATTTGGTGGTACTTTCTTATTTTTCCAAAATTCATCTTTAAGGATACGAGGACGTACTCTCTTATTTTCTGGAAAATATTTTTCCACGTACTCGTCAATTGAATGTAGAAGGTTCGTTAACTAAAAATAAACGTGTATTAGAAATAGATAAACTTCTGTTGTTTTTGAGGTTTGGCATTTTTCCAAAATTAGAAAGCATGCAAGGAAATTGATATGTCAAGATTTGGCAAAACCAGAAGCACCAATCACGTATTGATAAAGACATTTTAGTGTCACTGCGCATAAACAAAATGAATTGTCTGACTTACTTCATCAGATCTCCATGATAATTTGTAAACAAAAAGGTTTTTGCAGTCTGTGGATGCGTTTGGATCATTCTCCGGATCACTCTCTTCAGGAGAGTGGTATTCGTTCTTGTTTAATATTTCATTAATATCCTTGATACCGCGTTTTTTAAAAGATTTTCAATAATCGGGGTGATTCTTCATGGCTAATGCGCTCTTCATCCTTCGTTCCCGTTTCTTAAATTAAAATAACTATTAGTAATTTTCAATATTACCTAAAAATTTGGAACTTGATTAACTTAGGGCAGTGACATTTATTACGTAATATTTTAGGGGGTGGGAGGGTATTTAAAGGTCATATAACATATAAGTGTAACGTAAGATTTTTCATATTACATGGGGGTGGGGGAGTATGGGCTTATAGTAAATAGATATTATGTAATAAATGTCACTGCCCTTACTTCTGATAAACGGTTGATTATATGGCTCATTATTTTTTTTGTTTTATTTCTGCCTCGTTAAGCTGGCTTTCTTTCCATTTACGTCGGCCATTTTTATGCAAATCCGAGAACACATCCCGAACTATACTTAATGTTGCACAAATACCATGTTATTCAAGAAGTGATTAAATACGGGGAATCAGATCCTTTTCCAATTGTGGTGCAATCTCGCCGAACTTCTTCGTATAATCGATGGGAATTTCATCGATTTTTGCGCTACGAATTAGAATTTTAATTTCGTTCTATAAAATGAAAATTGATAAAATTAATGAGTTTAAACGTCACATAAATAATAAAAATATACCAAAACAAACTTTTATTTCTTTTCAATGCTTCTTATTATATTGTTTTTGTGCTGTCTCTTGCAACGAATGTAGATCTTTTTCAGGGATATATTCCTCATTGTCTTGTTTATCAAGTTCATCTTCGTCATCATCATCATCAACCTGAATATATTCTATTTGTCGATTTTGTCGTGAACGTTCTTGTGAGTTCAGAGAACGCTCCAGCATTCTCGTTATTTGCCTGAACCCAGTAGACATTTGTTCTTGAATTGACGACATTCCCCGTTCAAGTCGTGAAATACGTTCTTAATGTACAAAAAAAATAGTAATTTTTAAATTAAGTTTGCTATTTAATCAAAATTTCGAATGATCTGCCAAATTATCCGCCAAAACGTAAATTATACCTTCAGTATCCAGACTTGATGACCTATTTAATCGATTACGATTGTGTATTTGGTCGATGGATTTGGCTGAATTTAAGTGTGATAAAGAGCGAACTGTCTGAATGCCCTGTCCATCATGAGAAGCGTCGATGGATAAAGGAGAATGTAGTGTACGAGTACGACGCGTTAACAAACTTCTTTTTTTGGTCATTATCAGAAAAGAAATGAAGTAAAAGCTAGAAATGTGGAAGGAACGAACGTAAAATTGAAGAAACGTAAAGTAAAAAAAGAGTTGAGTAAAAAAAAAATTAGAAAGGAACAAAAATAAAATAATTTGAAAATTGTAAAGACGATTTTAATGTAAAGGAACAAAAATTGCAAAATCGACGTTTGTATTGTAAAAAAAAAAATCACTCTTTATATATTTATTCCAATTAAATGTTTTCTTCGCGTAATTGTTTGAAATAATTAAATAATTTTTGAATTGTTCTATTTTGGTCATCGCTGATTTTGGAAAATAGTTAAATAGTTAAATGATTTGAATTGTTCTATTTTGGTCATCGCTAATTTTTACAGGTCGAAATGCTAAAAATCGGCAAAAAAAATGGCGCGAAAAGCAGTGGCTATTTTTGGCTATTTTTGGCTATTTTTGGCTGTTTTTGGCTATTTACGAATTAACCTATACTATTTGTAAATAGTTTATACAAATTTGCGAATAGTTTATGCGATTTGCGCCATTTTTTTTGCCTATTTTTGATCATTTGACGTGTGTTTGGAATTAGTTAGCCAATCGCTAAGTATATTAAGAATATAATTAAGAATAATTTGGAATTTAATATATAAATTTAGTCAAACAAGGTTACGAGGAGTATACTGAAAGTTAAATTTATTGTTATCGCTGATATATTTAAGTATATAATTAAGAATAATTTGGCTATAAAAAGTTAAACAAGGAGTATACTGAAAGTTAAATTTTATTGTAGATCTGTTAAAATGTAACATATTCACTTTCGATTATGTATTGATCTACAATTGATGTATTGATGTTCGAAAAAAATATACAATTGATGTATTGAAGCTCGAAAAAAAATAAAAATGTATATACAATTGATATATTGATGTTCGAAAAAAATAAAAATGTATCGTCTGATTATTTATTACAGCGAAATGCTGGTATTTTGGTTAAATTCACATTTTGTAAAATTAAATCAAAATTTGAAAAAATGATGAATGTTAATGAAAGACGCGTTAAAACAAGAACTAAAGAAAAATGTTATTGTAATAAATGCAACAGAAAGTATGTTGATCCAAGAACCAAACAAAAACATTCAATGAGTCTAAGTCTTGATGATGCAACTACTTCAAATGACCCAATGAGTATTGGATCGTCATTCGTTAATGAAGAAATCTCTATCGACCCTCAAGAAAGCACATCATCATCAGAAAATTTGTCAACATTTTCTTCGAAAAGGAGAAAACGAAGCAGGTATAATACTTATTTGGAGCGTGACACTCAAATGCAAAATATAAATAACAGTGATGATAACAATGACAGTAACGAAGAAACTGATAATTATGGCGATAGCGATGATGGGGATGATAGCGATGATAACGATAATGGGAATGATAGCGATGATAACAATGATGGGGATGATGGGGATAATAACGATGATGGGGATGATAGCGATAATGGGGATGATGGGGATGATGATGGCGAAGAAACCAACATTTTTGAAGATTACTCTCCACCGAATTATGATTTTCCAAACAATATTAATGAAAATCTGCAAAATATTGAAGATTGGATAATTGTGTTTGTTTTGAGGTATTTAAGGTTGCTTGTCTAAACCTCTTCAAAATCCTACGATTAGTTTCATCAAAATTTTACTATAGATTTATTATAGTTTCAGCAGAGTTTCAGCAGTTTCGGCATTTATAATAAGTTTTGGCAGTTTCGCCTTTCTCCAAAGTTTCGCCAGTTTTTTAATATAACTTTAATATAGTTTCGGCAGAATTTCGCTTTTCGGCGAAACGCCATCTTGCCTAAACCCCTAGGTTTCGGCAAGCAACCTTAGAGGTATCAAACTAGGTTTCGACTAGCAGATACCGCAATCGATACATTAATTAAATTCATCAAACATATTTTAACAAATTTTAATTACGATCGTTTTAAAGATTTTCCTACTTCGTTGTATACTGCAAGAAAGAAATTAGGATTGAAGCATCAATTTGTCAAATTTTCCGTATGTCCTTCATGTCACAAATTACATAATATAGATGATGTTAAACAACACACAATCCAACAATACAAAGCAATAAAAAAATGTGGTCATGTACAATTTCCAAATCATTGTTCACTTCGACAATGCAATGCTCCATTATCAAAACAAAAAAAACTAGACGATGGTAAAGTTGTTAATGCGCCATTATTAATTTATCCGATGCCCAGTATAAAAGAGCAACTTTTACAAATGTATCAAAGGCAAAACTTTGAAAAAAATCTTAAATTATGGGCCGATAGAAGCGTCAACGACCGAGTCTTATGTGATGTATATGATGGTGAAATTTGGAAGAATTTCTCAAATAGTGATGGAATAATAGTGGATGATGAATCTGACGAACAAAGATTTTTTAATAAAGAACATGCGGATGATCATTTGGGTATTATGATTAACGTCGATTGGTTTCAGCCATTTGAAAGGACAATTCATAGTTCTGGTGCTATATATGGAGCTATTTGCAATATCCCAAGAGAATTGCGCTTTAAACCTGAAAATATGCTCATTTTAGGATTAATGCCAGGCCCTAATGAACCAAGCATACATCAGATAAATCATTACTTGGCGCCAATTGTTGATCAATTTCAAACTTTTTGGGAAGGAGTGGGATTAGACAGAACTTCTGAACATTTATCCGGAAAATTGATAAAATGCGCAGTAATTGCTTGTTGCTGCGATATACCAGCTGCTAGAAAATTATGTGGCCATTATTCAGCCAATGTAAGCTGTCACAGATGCTTAAAGGTTGCAAGAAATAGAAATTTTAGTGGCATGGATGATATTGACGAATGGTTTGTTGCTAAAAGCGCGAATAGTCATCAAGAAATGGCTTTGGAATGGAGAAAATGTAAAAGCAACGAAGCTAGAAAAAGACATACGAAGCAATATCACGCGAGATGGTCAGAAATGCTCCGTTTGTCTTATTTCGATCTGATACGATTTTTACCTGTGGACCCGATGCATAATTTATTTATAGGAATTGCATCATTTATCGTAAAAAGGCTTTGGTTAGGACATGGTAAAATAAATATGGATGATCTGACGAAAATTCAAAAAAACATGAACAATATTAATCCACCATCAGAAATCAGTCGAATTCCTCATAAAATAGATATTGGGGAAGGATTTTCCAATTTAACGGCTAACGAATGGAAAAATTTTTTCCTGATTTATGCCAGAGTCGTTCTTTGGGATTTTTTGGACCAAGAAGACCGGAAAATCTTAGTACATTTCAGCCAAGCTTGTTCTATATTAGTCCGAAGGATTGTTACAATCAAAAATTTAGATGACGCACATGAACATTTAATTGAAATTTTGAAACTTATCGAAACGAATTACGGAGAAGTTTCAATAACACCAAATTTACATCTTTCATTACACTTGAACAAATGTTGTAAAGATTACGGTCCTCTT